CTCTCTCTCTCTCTCTCTCTCTCTCTCTCTCTCTCTCTCTCTCTCTCGCTGTCTCTCTCTTTCTCTTTCTCTTTCTCTTTCTCTTTCATATACACATTTGGTTTTTTTTGTTTGTTTGTTTTTTGTTTTTTGAGACAGGGTTTCTCTGTGTAGCCCTGGCTGTCCTAGAACTCACTCTGTAGACCAGGCTGGCCTCAAACTCAGAGATCCGCCTGCCTCTGCCTCCCAAGTGCTGGGATTAAAGGCGTGCACCACCACTGCCCAGCTGTCATTTGGTTTTTCAAGATAAGGTTTCTCTGTGTGGTCCTGGTTATCCTGGAACTCATTCTGTAGACCAGGCTGGCCCCAAACTCAAAGATCCTCTTGCTTCTTCCTCTCAGGTACTGGGGTTAGAGACATGCTCAATCACCGCCCAGCTTCAAGTTCTTGCAACAAGGTATTCACCCTCTATAGCGAGAGGTGACTGAACAGCCTGAAAGCGTATCTGAGTGACATCATTAGTATGTGTTGTCAGTAGAACCTGAGTAGTTTAAGCCAGAAGACTCGAGTTCACTCCCAAAACACCTTGTGTAACATACATCATGCCCTTTAAGCTGTAGTGAGACTCCCAAACTCTCTCCAGGAGCACCAAGACATCAAAATATTTTAATCAGGTGCAGTGACACACACTTGTAACCTCCACACTTGAGAAGCATGACAGGAAGATGGAAGACCAAAGGCCAGCCAGAGCTACACAGCCAATCCAAGGTCAAGGTGGGCTACACAGGAAGACCTGTCCCAGCACTTGGCTCATGTCGGACTTAAACAACAGAGGGTTCTCTGTAGCTAAGAGCAGTAATAGATACACTTGTTTATCACCTCAGTGGACCACAAGAGTGTGTTAACCTTTACTTAGCCACATCTCTCAATGCCTCAGAACTAGGGAACGAAATTCTCCACGTTACCTAAGTGATAATACTCTAAATGCCACGGACTGAGGAAGTCCATGATGTCTCCTCAGTTGGGACAGGTTTCCAAGAGTTATCCATGATTCTGGCACTACATTTTAGATCCTCAAGTCTGGATGTCAGACCTGCAAGTGAAATGTCAGTGTCTCCCTAGCACACTGGCCAGGAATGTTTTTGATCCAGGGCACGGTGTGGTCTGTGTGATCTTCACACAGCATTCTTGTGTGATGACACAGGGCCAGTGTAATGTGTCCAGGATAAACTTAGACTGGTGAGTTATAGTCACAGCGTGCCTGGCGTCTCCAGATGGAACTCACTTCCATTTTGCACACAAGATAAGGTTTGGAAAGTATACACAGTTTGTGTGGTGGTGCGTGACTGTAATCCTAGCACTTGTGAGGCAGGGGGATCACTGCAAGTTCCAGGCCAGCCAGAACTCCAGAATGAGACCCTAAACAAAGGATTGGGGTTTAGCTCAGTGGTAGAGCACTTGTCTAGCCCTGGGTTTGGTCCTCAGTTCTGGAATTAAGACCCACAGTACATATTGGAAGGATCAAAGCTGGGCTTGAGCCCCTACACACACTCCAGTGTCTTTTCCATTACAATATATGGCTCTAGTCTCTATGCAGATCTGAAGTCTGCACTCCACACATGAACTGTTGGTGCCAAGGGCGATAGTACCACTGACTACCCTAACTGACGTGAAAGCCAGTCACTGTTCCCAAGTGTATTGTTGAGCTTGATTTACATAACAAGTTCTAGGCTAGCCAGGCTTGCTTAGTGAAGCCTTAACTTAAAAAAAAAAAAAAAAAAAAGTTTTTCACAGGTCCCTGCAAACCATCTGTGTTAGATTCGCAGGAAAGGGGTCAGGAAATATCTTTTTAAAACTGCTGAGTGTGGGGTGTGGTTATAAATATCTATAATCTCTGCACCTGGGAGGCGGGGGCTAGCATGAATCAAGCTCATCCTCGGCTACATGATACCCTCGAGGCCAGCCTGAACTTCAAGAACCCAGAGGTATAGGGCATGAAGACAGCTGAGCTTCCTGATCCAGCCTGCAAACCCTGGACCCACGGGTCATGCTTCTCAGCCTGCAAACCCTGAGACCTGTAGCTCACCACTTCTCTGCACACTTTGTGTTCCCTTAACTACTCAGGAAAGGGCTTTTCTCAGGTGTCAAAGGATAATAGGACCAGAATTACCAGACTCGGGGTTTTGATCATCTGAAATCTGATTTCCAGTACACAGTGCTAGGACACAAAAGCGTTCTGTGTGTTTGATCATATAATCCTAAAGTCCCAGCCCAGCTTCACTCTCGTTATGGGACAGTCAGAATGCATTTAGCATCCATCCTTAACTCTTTCAGCTCTGTCTCAGGCAGCCACAAAGCACGTGTGGTGAAGGTTTTCACCCCCTGCCATGTGTTCTCAGCTTCCTCTGACACTCCGGGCTGCAGCCTTTCTCTGGAGTGCCCTGTCTGCCTCAAGGTTGCCCTGCAGCTATGTGGCTGACCTTTACACCCCATCTATAGCTCCAGTTCCAGGGGATCCAGTCCCTCCTTCTGACCCTTGCGGGCAGCAGACACGGGTACACTGCATACATGAAGGCAAAATGCTCATGTACATAAAATAAAAATCTAAAAGAAGTGTCCTTGATCTTAAATAAAAACCCCACATACATGTAAGCCATTTTCTATTCTGAAATAAAATTCAGAAATACTGAGAAAAGAGACCAAAATAATATGTTAGTTCATCGTGTCACTCCTTGAAAGTCACACTGATTCTCTCCTGTGCTTTTATCCCCAGTACCGCCTCGGACTGACCGCTCAGCCTGAACTCTACCTTCTGAACACCGTGGATGCCGACTCATTGGTGTCTAGATGACTAACAGCCCAGGAGACTTTAAGAACACTTTTCTCTAAGCCCTTCTCTGCCAAGTGCCTGTTAGCAAACCCCTTAGTTGAGAGGTGAGCGCCTTCAGATGTTCTGAATGAGGTGAAGATCCCCTCATGGAGTCAGGGGTAAAAGCTAACAGCTGTGTATGGGTCAGAGACCCCTCAGAGGTAAACAGTGAGCCTGTGACAGCTGTGCAGTCCCTCAGGCTTGTGTCTGCACTTCTGGGGTTTAAAATGTATGGATATGTATTTATGTGAACTCAAACGTGCCGGTTTGGGTAAGATTTTAAGGTTATAAAATTTGATAGATTTTTACAAATGTCGTTCAGATGAGTTAGGTCTTCTGTCTGGGTCGCAAATGAGAAAGAGAATGAGCCTTTCTGGCGATGGACATCCCAAAATAACTCTTTAAAGTGCTGCTTTACCATGGGGTGCGTGTGCGTGTGCGTGTGCGTGTGCGTGTGCGTGTGCGTGTGTGTGTGTGTGTGTCTGTGTGTGTAGGTTGACATCAGGTGTCATCACAGTCTGTCTCTGAACACGAAGCTCAGTGTTTGGCTGGGCTAGCCAAGCTGGTAAGTTCAGGGTTCCTCCTGGCCCTGTGCCCCAACACTGGGGTCACAGATCTGCTGCTATGCTCGGACTTTACACAGTGCTGGGGACCCGAACTCGGGTCTTCCTGGACAGCAGGTTCTTTACCAGCTTCCCCGCTTTGTTTCCACGTCAAGTATGTCTGTGTCCTTCGTTTTTCTGTTGGCGTCTGTCCGCCTGGCCTTCCTTCCCCCTCTATGCACTACCACTCCACACGCTGTCCTTCCTAACCCTGTTTCTAAGGGCCACCCATACACTGCTGAGTGTCCTGAGGAATTGCAAGCATTTTAAGGTGTGTGTAACCAGAGCTATGAGGCTCACACAAAATGGGAGCACAGACCTCAGTGCCTTTTAAGCACTGACACTCCATGACGTGTGTGTGCAGGTTGCAGAACTTTTTGTTTTGTTTTTCTTTAATCCCAGTTGCTAACCAGAAATTCTCCTTTTTACAGTAAAGTTCATACTTAATAACTAAAAGCTTTTGTCCAGGGGTACTGTTCAATTGTAAAACTCTTGCTTGCCTTAGGCAAGGCCTGGGGCATGGGCCTCACACACACACACACACACACACTCACACACACATACACACAGGCACACTCACTCGCACACACTCACACTTGAACACATGTGCACACACATGTGCACACTCCACACACATGTGCACTCTCACACACACAAACACATGTGGGCACACACACTTGAACACGAACACTTGAGTACGCAAACACATGGGCACGCATGTAAGCACATTCATACACTATAAAGCCATTACAGTGCTTGATCCACATTCCTGCCTGGCAGTACAGCAGACAGTACATTAGGCCAGCAGACAGTACAGCAGATAGTACAGTAGGCCAGCAGGCAGTACAGCAGGCAGTACAGCAGACAGTACAGCAGATAGTACAGTAGGCCAGCAGGCAGTACAGTAGGCTAGAACTGAATCAGAGCTAACCGTTGTCATTGCCATATGTGCCTCGTGGGCACACAGCCTGTTGGGCCCTGGGTCTTCACATTATTACTTACTTTCTTGGTCTCTAGGATCTAAGTCTACAAAACCCCATAGACTGCGTGACTTTAAATGTCACGTTCATCTTTCAGCATTAAATGTAGAAGCAGAGAGATCATACATTACATTTTGTTGTTATTTTCCAGGACAGGGTTTATCTGTGTAGCCCTGGCTGTCCTAGAACTCACTCTGTAGACCAGGCTGGCATTAGACTCAGATCCACCTGCCTCTGCCTTGAGTGCTGGATTTAAAAGTGTGTGCCACTACTGCCCAACTTGCCAGAGAGTTTTCTAAATAGACACTTTACAGCTTCTTCTTCCCCCTCAAGGCCTGTTTTTGTTGTTGTTGTTGTTGTTTTTGTTTTTTAAAAGACAGTCTTACTATGTAGCTCTGGCTTACCTAGAACTTGTTATGTAGACTAGGCTAGCCTCAAACTTAGAAATCCTCCTGCCTCCACCCCCAAGTGCTCAATTAAAAGCGTGCTCAAAATTCTGCTTGGCCATAGCCCACTGAAGACTTGCAAGAACAACCTTACAACCTAGGTCACAGTTCTGATCTTAACAAAGAGACAGAAGCAGCAGTCCTGGGCTTTCGCTTCGGTTACTAAAGTCTCCGTGTTTCGGTTTTGCGAGCACCGATCACAATCCTGGATGAACCCATTTCTTGTATACCCACCCGACCCTCCAGTTCTGTCTCTCAGTACTTCTTTTCCTGGAGGATCATGTGTGAGAAGAAAGGCTAAAGACAGAAGCATCCTGTTCTGCGATTCATACAAAGGTGCGGCAGGTGACAGTGGTCAGGAGCTGCTGAGGGTTTCTGTCGCTCCTCTCTGTGCTTTCACTGTGTGCTAGCAGGAACAGAGATAAGCTGCCACACGTTCGCAGGTGTCACCCTGAGGCCATACTGCTCTTTGTCAGCAGAAAATGCAGTACGCACCAAATCCGTTACACGGTTGACATCTAAAGAGTGAACCTTGGTTAAGCTTCATGCCATTAAGAACATGTGCGAACTTTGACTAGCGTTCATGAAGCCCTTGATTTAACCCAGCACTGGAGATCGAAGTAAGAGGCTCAGAAGGTCAGCCTCATCCTTTTTTTTGTTTTGTTTTGTTTTTTGTTTTGTTTTTTTTCGAGACATGGTTTCTCTGTGTAGCCCTGCCTGGCTGTCCCGGAACTCACTCTGTAGACCAGGCTGGCCTCGAACTCAGAAATCCGCCTGCCTCTGCCTCCCAAGTGCTGGGATTAAAGGCGTGCGCTACCACTGCCCGGCAAGTCAGCCTCATCCTTGACTCTGTATTCAGTTCAAAATCCTGGGGTTCCCAGGGGATCCGATACCCTCCTCCGAACCCTTCAGGCACCAGACATGTATGTGGTACACAAACATACACATAAAAAAAACTAAAATCAAAAAAATTTTAATGATGCCGGCAAGATAGCTCAGGAGGTAATTAAAGGCACCTGCCACCAGGCCTGCTGACCTGAGTTCCATCCCAGAGACCCACATGGTGGTGAAAAGCAACTCACAAAATGTCCGATCTCTACACGCGTGCCGTGGCTCCTGTACCCCTGTACACATACACACAGGTAATTAAAAGTGTAACTTTAACAAATTGAAGACATAAAACATTTAGCTTGGGCACGGTGATCTCAGGTGACAGGAGGCTGAGCCTGGAGGATCTAGAATTCAAGGCCAGTTTGGGCCACTTGCCAAGATCTTGTCCCAAAGCACAAGGAACTAGAGATCATGCAGTGGTAAGAAGACTGGTTACTCCAGCACCGTCATGGCAGCTCAGCAGTAACTCCAGTCCCAGGGAATCCAGTGTCCTCTGCATGTGTGTGCATGCACACACACACACACACACACACACGTACACACATGCACACATGCACACAGACACATACACGCACACACACACACAGGCAAAACACCCTAGACACAAAACAAATGAACCAGTAACAATCACTTTGTACCATATGGTAACAAGTCTGGGTTTCTGTATACAGTGGCTTTATAGAGCAGTATTACTCTGTTTCTTGTAATAAAATACGTGAAGACAGGGTACTTTATCAGAAGAGACGTTTATTTAGCTAACAGTCTAGTTCAAAGACATGGGGCTAGCTGGCACTTCTACTGAAGGACTCTTGCCCCATGGTGGATGGCACCAAGTGGGGCAGTATCAAGAGGAAGAGAATACACCAGGGGACCAAGAGCCAGGAGGTTGTTGGCTCATTCATTCATTCATGCATTTATTCATTTGTCTCTCCCCCCACCTCCCCACCAGCTGACCTAAAACTCATGACTATCCTACCTTAGCTCCCTAGAGGGGCCGTCCGTGATAACAGCTTGCCCTCATGAAAACATAGTTCCAAGAGAATGGCCAATCCCTCCCCTTGACCTGACCATCTCTCCCTAGACTTCCCCTCTTCAGAGATTTCCCTCACCTCAACCTTGTACACTGGGACCGGGCCTCACATGCAAGAATATTTTTTAGGACATATTTAAATTACAACATGCAAGTATTAGCATAGTCAATATACAGATAAGACTGTGCTTGTTCACCGTCCCCTGGGATTAAACACTGTGACATTTAATTAAGAAAAGGATGTTCTGGCAATGTGACAGCGGCCAGGAAGTTAAATAATTAGTACTGAGTTCCTGCTACAGGGTTTGTGTCACCTTGCTGTGAAGGACAGATGGAGAACACTCAGGTTTGTGATGTGGTAGCCAATGGAGATACCATGTTTCAGACATGGCATTAGGACACGGAAGTATTTTACAGATTCGGCTATTATGTTAAGCAGTGTCTGTGTAGAAAGACACTACTGAGCAGCCTCCTGCAGTAGATCTCCCGCTCTACCCAGCCAAGGTGGAATGCATGAACATCCTGCATCCAAGTCTGTGAGTTTGCATGGATTGCCGCCATTACTAGATTCATAGTTGGCAGTGCTTTTTAAGCAATAAATAACATTCTTTTCCTTCACTCGGTAACATTACAAAATAGGTTTTGTGAGAGGTGTCATCCATGCAGAATGGGTGAGGCAGAAGGACTGCAGTTTTGAGCACAGACACTGCTGCATAGTAAAATTCTGCCCCACCCCCAGAAAAGTTTCACAGTATACCCCAAACTAGTTTGGAACTTGTGATCCTCCTGCCTCTGGATCCCAGGATTTTAGGCTGGCATCATGTCCTAATTTTTTAAAAAGCCATTTTCCTTCTCTTTTTTAAAAGGATTTATTTATTTTGATGCATGTGAGTATTTGCCCTCGTGTATGCATGTCCACTGTATGCATACTCTGTGCAGGGAGGTGTGAGTTTCGTGGGTGTTATGAACCCCAGTCATCCGAAGGAGCCAATCCCACCCACTTTCTACAGCCATTTGCTCGTTTGTGTGGGTGCACACACTTGGGATCAGAGGATAACCTCGGGAATTCAGTCTCTTCGTCCACTATTTGGGTTCCAAGGTTCAGGTGACGTCAGGCTTGGCAGCAAGCACCTTCAACTCCTGAGCCATCTTGCCTCCTCCAGATCCCTTTTCTAAGAAAACACACTTGGTCTGCACCGCTTGCTGAGTGAATAGTGGTCACATTTTTGCTAAGAGCTTGGCTAGAAACCTGCCAGAGCCTGTTGGTGCAGGCACCGCTGCTGCCTGTGTGCACAAGGTTCTGAGCTCTGGGGAGATTAAGTCAGAAAAAGACAGCAGGGGTAATTTTCAGCTAACAGCCTGTGGCTTTAGAAAGCAACTTCTCAACAACATAAGACACAGATTCTACGAAGCTTCTATGTGAGCTATGCTTTGTAATGTGATTCGAAGCACAGTGCGAATTCCTTTTTCTGACACTCAGCACTGAGAAGGAGCTGGTCTTCGTTGCTTCCCGCTTCTGGCTTTATTTTTGGGGGACATTGAAGAACCGAGGTCTGATGTAATCCTTATACATAGAGTAAAGAACACCTGGAAAAGAAAGTCACCTGCAATCAGTAGTGCCTGTGAGATGCAAACACTGACATTTTCCCACGCGCTTTCCCAAAACTAGCACACTATTGCAAAAGAAAGAGACAAACAAAACCTCTCAGTAAGCTTTGGGTCAGCTCACGCAGTGGCCACAGAATCAAATAACACTTACGTATTTTAGATCAGCATTGACACAGGCGTACGTACACGCGCACACACACAAACCCAAACTCAAAAACGCAAATTCTGTAAAAAGACATTTTTTTAATTTAAAAGATAATAATACTTTGAACCTAAGTTGTCATAACACTATCCCCAAGTTTAAGTTTTTGTTTTGTTTGTTTTTTTGAGTCAAGTGTTTCTCTGTGTAGCCCTGGATGTCCTAGAACTGACCACATAGTCCAGGCTGGCTTTGAACCCAGGGCCTCCTACATTCTGGGCTTTATCCCTAGTCGTGGAGACATTCAAATGAGATTTCTGTCAGTATAACATGAGGTTAACAGTTTGAGTCTAGATCAATGGCCCTGTTTCTCTCTAAGCCTCAATTTATAGTCTACACAGTAAGATAACAGCACCTATCGTAGAGACTAGATCTGAAGTGTTATTGTATCATGAGGATTGGTCTGGTCCTTGTCCCAGGAATAGCACAGAGCTTGTAAAAAGCTTGTAACTTCAGGAGAAATAACAGTGTCTGTTACTGATAAGCCTCTTGGATCACACCGGAGGTTCATACCAATGAGAATCCGGCTGGCGTCTGAGGCTAAGAGCAGCTGCCTGGGAGACCACATCCTTAAACTCAGGGGACCTGAGACGTCAGCTCCAAGTGCTGGGGTCAGCCTCAGATTGTATCCCAGCACAGCTGGGGGAGCTCTTAGTAAGGTTAGACCATTAATGACAGCAGACGAACAGGGAAGGAAAATGTGGCATATTTACACAGTGGGGTGTAGGGTTTGGTTTGTTTTTTAACCAAAAGAATGAAGTTCTGTTGTTTGCAGCTGGAGATGGTCATGTTAAACAGGTTATGGTGACCTCAGAAAGACAAACAATTTTTCCTCTCATTTCTGGTTCTTAGATTTTATAGAAAATCTCTCTCTCTCTCTCTCTCTCTCTCTCTCTCTCTCTCTCTCTCTCTCTCTCTGTCACACACACACACACACACACACACACACACACACACACATACATGCACAATGAGCCAAGGTGATGAGCTCTCAGTCAGGTGACTGGCACTGGGGTGCTCCTTACATGCTGGCTGTTTTGTCTGCTGAGCACTCTCTCTCCCTCAGCCTGGACCTTTGTTCTCCATCCTCTGTATGAGCGAGAGAAAAGAACTTGGGACTCATTCGTTTGTTTATTGTGCATTCATGTGTGTGACACGGGACAAGTGCAGGGGTCTCTCCTCCCAACAAGGGGGTCTCAGGACTTGAACTCAAGCCGCCGAGCAATCTTGCCTGTTTGGGAATCATATTTGACTCCTGTTTTCTTTTCCTTAGTCATCTGGTGGCTAAAGGTTATAGCTTCAGTTCTACAGAAGTCCAGCTGCATGCTCCAAAAAAGCTGTATGGGGGTGTTGGGAAACATCAATGGTGTCCCCAAAGCCCAACGAAGGTGTTTGTTTCCACAGTTCCTTTAGAAATGTAATTCGTGCTTTACCACGTCGGTAGAAGCAGACAGTTAGAATAGCATCCACTTGGCCCCCTGCCAGGGTGGCCAGGGGACCAGTGTGGAGATTCTGACAGGTACTGGCAAGAGGTTCAGTGGGAGAGGACATCCAGTTCATAAGCCGGACGACCTGGGTGTGATCTTCAGAAACTGTGAACGGTGGCCAGAGAGAACCACTCCACAGAGTTGTCTGGCCTCCATACGAGTGCCGTGCATGCGTGTGTGCACCCATGCACACGTCACACCAATAATAACACATTTTAAAAGAATTCCAAGAGCCGCCAGGTATATACATTCCAATGACACATTGCAGGACTACAGAATACCATGTTTGGGGCCGGCTGTGTGTGAAGCAGACTCTCTGACCCCTATCAGGTCGTAATTGAGTGGCACTTTACTGTAACTGTGTCAGGGCAGGAATCCGTCGGCTTATTGCCGGTATTTCAAAACTCCCCACAAATGTGCTTATCTTCTCTCTGGTTCCCTGGTAAATGGCTGCAGGACTCTTTTGGGGAAAGCTAGGGAGATGATTACAGTATGTTTGTTTACATAAAGATGTATATGTACATACATGTGTTTATATGCGTGTATACACACACATGGGGGGTGTAATGTACATGTTGGGAGGAGATCTTGGGATCTGAGCTAATGCAAGTAAAAAGTAAAGGAGTGGGCCCCCAGTCCAGAGCTCCCTGCTGTGTGCTTCAGGTTCAAGCCTAGCCTCTTTTCCTTCTGTGCTGCCTGACTTTCAGTTCTAGGGCCACCAGAACTGGGTAACCAGAGCCTGAGATCCGTGGCTTAGCCTATGCTGTCAGTGTTTGAACAGTTGCCAACCACAACAATCAAGCATCTCTTTCTTGTCTTTGCCCATCAGATGCTGCCAGTGACCTCCTTAAGATCAGGATCTCTCCGTCCCCATCGACTCCAGGGAGGCCGGCAGCTCACTGTGCCATTCTCAGACTAAAGAGAGCGCTATCAGAAGTCAAGAAGCAGCCAGGGGTACCTGACCATGGGCATTTCCTCCTCCCTGATAAAGGGTGTGGCTATAATGGGGAAGGCAAGATGAAGTCATCTCTCCCATCCTCTGGCTGCAGCCTCCATGGCAGCCTCCCAGCCTCAAGGCAGCTGCCAGTTGAGGCTAGATTACTCCCGCTGTCGGATGCCCTGTACACTGCAGGCTATTTGACAGCATCCCTGTGATGCTCGTAGAGTTGCCTCCTGCCTCCCACTCCCAACAGGACAAACAAAAAATGTCCCCATATGTTACCAGATTAAACTTTCCTGAGGGAACAAACTGCCTGTCACTTCCTGAAAGCCCGCAGGGGCAGCCACACTGTGAACCTTTGCAGAATCAAACAGCAAATACCCCAAAGCTTTGGGTTCCTCCCTTCTGCAACTGTGGAGCAGCTGTGTGCAGGGGGCAGCTGTGTGCAGGGGGCACACAAGGTGGATGGAAGAGTGGCTAAGCCAAAGCGTGTTCAGGAGAAGGTTCTCAGGAGACCAGGTGTCCGCTGAACTGTGAGAAAGAACTTTGTTGGAGACCCTGAAGACTGACCCAGGCAGTGGTAAGGACCGGGGCCTTTGCTTTTGTGGTTTCTGATGACCATGACAATAGATGAGATCCCTTTGGAAGTCAGGCCAGTGACCAGCCACAGCTGGGAAGTGTTGGCTCTGTGTAGCTGAAGCAGGTCTGGAAACCCAAGTGGTCGCCCTTTCAGCTGGGTTTGGGGGCAATGACAATGTTGGCCGTGCAGCTCTGGAGGAATGGTTTAGTAACAAAGGAGACAGGCTTGGAGGTGGCAAACTACAGTAGCTTCGGGAACGTCAACCACCATCACTTCAGATTTGGGACCCTCGAAGACGGGGAACTAAAGTGGGAACCAGCCCTGTGGTGTGGAGGCCAGTAACTTATCAAACTCTGAGACACCAGCGACAAGCTGCTCTCTCAGCGGTAGGAACACCTGCAGCTGTGTGTGTGTGGGGGGGGGGAGCTCACTCACTGCTGCAGAAAACAGCTTAGCCCCAGAGGAGAGCCAGAAAAGAGCCCCTGTCTGAGTAAACTGTGGAGCACAGACTGTGTGTGAGTGGGGCCTTGCTGCTGCAAAGGCATTAGCCAGTCACTCATGGGAAAACAGTCCTCAAGGACCGGGCTATGACTGACCGTGGGCTGATAAGGATACCAAGTCAATGTGGCTTTGGTTTAGTTTGGGTTTATTTGTTTTTGTTTTATTTGGTTTTTTTTGTTTGTTTGTTTTTGAGACAGGGTTTCCCTTTGAAGCCCTGGCTGTCCTGGAACTCACTCTGTAGATCAGGGTGGTCTCAAGCCCAGAGATCCACCTGCCCCTGCCTCCCAAGTGCTGGGATTAAAGGTGTGTGCCACCACTGCCTGGCTAAGTAAATGTTTTTAATGTGCCTGTCTAGGCTGTACTGTGTAAAGTTACTGTACTCGGAAGCCATCTTGGTACACTTCTCCAGCAGTGAGATTAGGGTCCCCTTGGAGTTCCACCAGGTTGAATTGGAAACTTTGTTACAGTTACCTGGATGAAATGGCCGTGCCTCCAGAGACCTTGGTGTAGTTGAACTGACAACTCGTATTGTCAAGTCATAAAGTTCACATGGATCCGGTCACTTAAGCATAATCTATTGAGCAAGGCATGGAACACACACATAGTCCCTGTACCAGGAAACCTGAAGCAGGAAGATTGTAGAGGGTGTGGTACCACCTATGCAATACATAAGCTTAAAAAAGGTCCATAGGGAAACAGCCAACCAGAACCACTGTAGAGATCTAGTCTTTCCTGTGTATTCTAGCTCCTGTTTGAAAGTTCTGAATTGTCCCTGCTTGTCCTGTCTTACAGCTGTCTTAGCCAGGCACGTGTCTGTAGTCTCAGAACCAGGAGGATTGTTATTTTGAGTCTGGCCTGGACTAAGTAGTGATTTCTGAGGCCAGCCTGGACTGCCTAGAGATTTTCTGTCTCAAGCAAACTAACCTTAAAAATGCAGGTCAGGGGGCTGGTGAGATGGCTCAGTGGTTAAGAGCACTGACTGCTCTTCCAGAGGTCATGAGTTCAAATCCCAGCAACCACATGGTGGCTAACAACCATCTGTAATGATATCTGATGCCCTCTTGTGGGGTGTCTGAAGACAACTACAGTGTACTTACATATAATAAATAAATAAAAATTTTTTAAAAAATGCAGGTCAGGCGTAGTGGTGCGTAATTGTAATCCCAGCACTTGAGAGACAGCGCCAGGAAGATCACCATGAGCTCCAGGTCAGCCAGGGCTACACTGTGAGCCGACCAAAACCTAAATGGTCTGTGCTAGACAGTTTTTTTTATCAGCTTGGCACAAGCTAAAGTCTGAGAAGAGGAAACCTCAACTGAGAAATGCCTCCAGAAGATGAGGTGGGCAAACCTGCAGGACATTTTCTTAATCAGTGACTGATGGGGAAGGGCCCAGCCCACTGTGGGTGGTGCCATCCCTGGGGAAGCCATGAGGAGCAAGCCAGGACACACTCCGCCAGGGCTTCTGCATCAGCTCCTGCCTCCAGGTTCCTGTTCTGTTTAAGCTCCTGCGCTGACTTTCTTCAGCGATGGGCTACAATGTGGCAGTGTGAGCCAAATAAACCCTTTCCTCCCCCGCTCACCTTTGGTCATGGTGTTTCATCACAGTAAGAGAAACCCTAACTAAGCCGCTGACCTTTCTAAGTAATCTTTCTAATCAAGACTAATCTTTCCTTGCTAAGTACATTGGCCACTGGGCAAAGCTTCCTACCTGGGATGAAAGTAAAAAAGCTGTTTAGATCTCTGGCCTCTAAGAAGCTTCCTCCCAGGTAAAAGTACTGAGAAACTACGGCTGCCCATGAGATAGGCTGGGGGACACGGTCACTGCTGTTAGTGGAGCCAAACCATGCCAGCGCCTTCCTCTAGAGCAGAGGTTCTCAACCTGTGGGTCCAGACCCCTCTGAATGACCCTTTCACGGGGTTCACATACCATATTTTCTACATATCAAATATTTACAACTCACGACAGTAGCAAAGCTACAGTTACAAAGTAGCAACAAAAAGAATTTTATAGTGGGGGGGGCATCACAACACAAGGAATTGTATTAAAGGGTCCATCCCTTTAAGGTCTGGCAGTCAAAAAAAAAAAAAAAAGCCAGGCGGTGGTGGCACACGCCTTTAATCCCAGCACTTGGGAGGCAGAGGCAGGTGGATTTCTGAGTTCCAGGCCAGCCTGGTCTACTGAGTGAGTTCCAGGACAGCCAGAGCTACACAGAGAAACCCTGTCTCGGAAAAAAAAAAAAGACAAAAAAATAAAATAAAAATAAAAATATAAGGTCTGGCAGTCTTGTTGGGTTTTATCAGGAGAAAATCCTAAGAAATTGAGAAGCCTCATCTCTTTTAGCTTGCTTTCTTAAAGATTTGTTTATATTTTCAGCATATGAGTACCTGAATGCGTGAACATGCACACTACAAGTATGCCCGACACCCAAAGAAGCCAGAAGAGGGCGTCAGGATCCCCAGAATTAGGGTTACAGATGGTTGTGAGCTTCCAAATGGCTGCTAGGCAGCCATTGCCCTCAACTGCCTCGTCTCCTTTAATCCCACGCCTTTAATCCCAGCACTTGGGAGGCAGAGGCCTCCCAAGGGGAATCTCATATTCCAATCCAATGTTTATCTTCTACCAAGAATTTACAGAATAAGTAAAACAAAACACATACACATGTGCATAACACGAGCGCACATACACACACAGTGTACACGCATACACATGCACACATGCTCAAACAGGGGCACACTCAAGCACACACCTCTGTGGAGGAGAGCCAGACCTAAGAAAAGAGGCAGACAGCTTACCTAAAGTCACGGCCCCCACCGCGCACCCTTGGGCAGCAACCCGCACGTGGATGAGATGTAGGGATACCTTCTGATCTCGTCTGGAGTTTAGCTTGTAAAGACCGTAGGACAGCACAGCCACAAAGCCTGCCATGCCTGTGGATTTAAAGATGGATTAGGGAGCTGGAGAGATGGTTCAGTGGTTAAAAACACTAGCTGCTCTTCCAGAGGACCCAGGTTCAATTCCCAGCACCCACGTGGCAGCTCACACCTATCTGTAATTCCAGTTCCAGGGGATCTGACTCCCTCACACAAACACACAGGCAGGTAAAATACCAGTGAGCATAAAATAAAAAATAAATTATATATTTAAAAAAAAGAAACCCATTTGTTAAAAATCTATAACAAAGCTTATGGGCTATTTTAACACAGACACGAGTTAATTAACAAGAGGCAAGTATTCCCCTTAGCCAAATGAAAGGCCGTGTAAAGGATAACCCAGAAGACAGACAAGATGTAGGTTCAGTAGCCCTCATCCGACATACTTGGGTCAGAAGTGAGGGTTGTGGGTGTCTTAGATGTTGGGGCATCTGCATTATGAAGTGTCAGAAGCCATCTAGGGAAGGCTATGACAAGCAAGTGAGTTTCCTGGAGGTGGCTCACTGTTCTGCACAGCTCAGATGGGTGTGCTCTGAGATGCAGGGTCCTCAGAGACTTCATCCCAGGATTGCTTCTTGCTGCCGAGATGCCTTTCCTGCTACTATTGCACAGCCTAATGATTCCTGGGCATCAGCCCACCCTACTGTGTGATCTACAGAATCAATATGAAGACGATTACTACGTGCTCTCACGTAGTAATCCTGTGTAGTAATGCTTTCATTCCACTAGGAAATGAAAGCAGGCTTGGAACAAAGTTACCATTAAGGGAAACATTCCTTCTAGGCTAGGAATTAGGCTACTATCCGGTAACTAAAGGTCATGAACTTGGTAATGGGCAATTTATTGTAGGTGCAAGGACAGAACATAAGTGATGGACTAGTCTATCTATACAAGACTTCAAAATAATAAGACAAAACTATGCTAAATGATGACATAAAAATTACTGCTTTAAACTTACAATGAACTTACGGAGCTAGAAAAAGATAATGTTTAGTTGGGTACTAGTCTTAATGGAGAAACATGTAAACAATTCTGACGTAACCTCTTAAGTTTTATTAATCTATGACATGGACTATTGCCTTAAACTTACTATGAACTTATGGAAGAAAATCATGTGATCGGTTATCCTGTTGCAAGGATTCTATCTAAGTGTTTTTTTCTGTGTGTCTGACTCTTTTCTTTCCTCTCTGGCTCATAAAGAGTTAACAAACTCTGACCCTTTCACCTGATTAGTGAAAGGTCCTGCAAGTCAAAGAGAAAATGGCCCAAGCAACTAAATAGCTTTTCTGAATCCCCTGCTGCTATCAGCAGGAATTAATCGCCAAAAAAAATAACAGTAGCTTTTAGCCACAAAATAGCAAGAGAAAGTTAAATTTTCAGAGGCCATCAGCTTCTGGCCCTCAGAACAGTAAAAGAGAGTCACAAGGCCAGAGACCATCTCTCCATCGACTCTGTGTTCCGCTGTTTTCTAGCCGACCCACTATGCTAGCCGCACTCCCGGAGTTACAAACACCTAGAAAGAGTCACCTCAACCTAGAAATTGCCTTTTTTTCATGAGCCATGTTCGAGTCCATTCTATGTTTCCTGGCCCTGTGCATGAAGGTAAGGATACGTTTGATTCCTTGACAAAACCTGTTGCTTTTCCTACGGAGGCAGCTCAGCGGATGCATGCATTACATCATCAAATCGCTGCTGGACTCTTCGAAGCTGCCCTTACAACCCTGTGGAACTGTGTAACGTGCCCCGCCCCCACGCACACAGCAGAGCTGTGCATTACATCATCAAATCGCTGCTGGACTCTGCAGAAGCTGTCCTTACAACCCTGTGGAACTGTGTAACGTGCCCCGCCCCCACGCATGTTCCCCATGGGAGTTAACAGTAACAGTCTTGAATTTGGGAAGAGGACTTTGTGGGGAGAGAGCGTAATGAATGGAAAAAAGACCGGAAGGAGTATAGTGATCAGAACGTACCTTGTACATATATGAACCTGCCAAAGAACAGACTCAATACAAGTTATTAGAAATAGAACTTTAAAAAAAAAAAAGCACTGAACACTGAAGAGGTGGCTCCAGGGCTAAGAACATTCACTGGTCTTGCAGAGGATTTGGGTTCAGTTCCCAGCACCCACAAGATGGCTCAACCCTGTAACTCCAGTTCCAGAGGCTCCAACACCCTTTTGTGACCTCCAAGGGCACCATGCACATACATGATGCACAGACAGACAGACACACCCATACATATAAAATTTAAAAATAGACCTAAAAATATTTAAGTAAAAATTTTTTACTCAACAGTGCTGTTCCCCTTTGGGGTTCTCTGATAATCCTACTGATTTACGTGTCTTCTGTCAGCAGTCACAGAGTCTGGATTACTGTAGCTAGGGGCCATAGTGCCTCCTTCCACCTGATCTTAAACAAACAGGGAAAAAAGCCAGAACAGAACATGGTGCACTTGCCTGTATTCCAGCACTTGGGAGGTTGATGCAGGGGGATCAAGGAGTTAGAAGCCAGCCTGAGCAGACAGGGAGACTACTTCAAAAGGCAAAAACAAGAAGTCTTGGTGTTAGCATTTGCTTACCATGAGCAAGGCCTCTAAACTGATCTGGAGCACTGAAAACAAAACATTGTTTTGTTGTTTGGAGAATTCATGATTTCCATAATTTCCATATATCTTAGGATGAGCACATCTTTTGTGTCCGTGTGTCCATGTGTCCGTGTGTGCAAATATGCATGCACATATAGTGCACACATATAGTGGCCAGAGAACAGCCTAAGGGGATCACTCCTCACATGCTGGTCACCATGGCCTGGAACTCACCAAGTAGCCCTACAGATCTTCCTGGCTCCACCTCTCCAGGGCTGGGTTTCCAAGAGAGTGTCTAGACAACTTGGCCTTTTTATATGGGTTCTGGAAGTCTAATTTAGGCCCTCATGCTTACTGTATTCACAAAATCCTTGTTGGAATTGTAATGGAATTACATTAACCCTGTGGATCTCTCTGGGGAGAACTGACCTCTGTAATGAGAGTTTTGGTTTCTTTATAAACCCAGTTATGTGACATAAATGTGTTTCTGTTTTAATCTCAGGTGTAAGAGGCTGTTTCACAGCAGGTGACTGTGATTTGTCTCCTTCACTAGGAGGGGGGTGATTTTTGCCCAGCCACAGAGAGCTTATATTTGGAATTCAAGGAAATTTTCAGAGGGTATAAATGCCAGAACCCCTAGAGGCATGGCGCAACCCAAGAAGGCTGCGGCTCCCGCGGCTGCTGCTGGCTCCTATTCCTGTGGTTATTCAAGCGGTTGTGAGGTATGATGAGAGGAAGAAATTGAAGCTATCCTGATGATGATGATCAACACTGCCCCACAGGAACTCGATGCCCTGATCAGCAGGAAGTAGTCTAACAGCATCAATGCCCCCTTTCCCCTTAACCTTATTTCTCTCCTACCTAGTGCTTGGAGGTTGGAAGGGGGGTAGATACAAGAACCTAGGACAGCAGCCAAAAAAGCATGCCTTAATACACACACACACACACACACACACACACACATATATATATCTCATATATGTATATATACACATAACATACATATATACACATACATACACACACACATATATGTTACTAATTACTAATCAATGATCATAATAAGTAGTGTATCCATTCAGGTCATCTGATTCATTTCATTAGCATTTTGTAATTGTCAACATAAATAGGTTAAGTTTATACCTAAGTGTTTATTTTCTTTATAATGCCTATAAATGAATTCCTCCTCCCTCTTCAACTGCAGGTTCTGTGTGTTTGTCCACAGTTTAAAGAATGCAGCTAATTTTTATGTGGGATGAGAAACAGTGTCGGGACTGGTATTTTCTAGGGCTAGACAATATCCGTATCCTTCATGCTCTATTCGTAAGGTGGAGAAAGAACCAGAGCAAATGATCACAAGTCTGTGTGTATTTTATAGCCTTGTTAGTAAATGCAGCTGAGTGAGATGATTAATGTGCAAGATGCACAGATAGCAATAAGCAATCCCTTAAGATAATGAAGACAGGGCCAGTGAGAAGGTCCCGTGGTAACGACCTTCACTGTGCAAGCCCTTGCCGTGTGAGCCTGCGGCCAGGGCTCAATTCCTGGCTCCCATGGAAAAGTGGAAGAAAACAGCTGACTCAGCAGATTTGTATTATGCCCTCCACATGCTCCCTCCAAATCTCTCTCTCTCTCTCTCTCTCTCTCTCTCTCTCTCTCTCTCTCTCTCTCTCTCTCTGTCTCACACACACACACACACACACACACACACATAGTAAATAAATAAGATTTAAGGGGACTAGAGAGACGGCTCAGCAGTTAAGAGCACTCCCTGCTCTCCCAGAGAACCATTTTAGTTCCCGTAACCCAGGTTAGGCAGCTGATGACCAGCTAAGATTCCAGCTACAGGGCATCTGACAGCCCTTCTGGTCTCCTCCTGCACCTGCTCTCACATGTGGACACACAGTCACACACAGATATACACACACATATACATGCACGCACAAATAAGATTTATTAACTTTCTATATATTTTTTAATTTAAAAATATATAATCAGCCGGGCAGTGGTGGCGCACGCCTTTAATCCCAGCACTTGGGAGGCAGAGGCAGGTGGATTTCTGAGTTTGAGGCCAGCCTGGTCTACAGAGTGAGTTCCAGAACAGCCAGGGCTACACAGAGAAACCCTGTCTCGAAAAATTATATATATAATTATCTTAAATTGCTCATGCATCCTGAACTAGTAATTCTACTTTGGAATATACTCCAAGAAAATAAGCAAAACAAGCACAGAATGTACAGAACACAAAAATGTTCAGGAGTGTACCCTGTCTTAGGAAAAACTTAAAAACCCTAAATGAATGGCCTGAACAAAACACCTACAAAACTGTTGCAAAGAGAAATCTCTGAGGTTTTTGAAACCAGCCTGGTCTACATAGTGAGTTCCAGGTCAGCCAAGGCTACATGGAGAGACCCTGTCTCAAAGAGAAAAAACAAACAGGAAGTATCATAGATACTTTTTATTTATCTAACGGTGCTCTGGATTGAGCCCTGGGGTTTAATTAGTGCCAGGCAAGCACACTCGTTCTGAGTCCCAACCCAATAAGTCATATTTGTAATAATGGAAGTGATTTCAGATCATCAATAAAAAGTATTTTGTAAATTATCTGTATGAGACAATCTGTCCTGTGGCAGAATAACCTGTTAAGTATTGCTTAAATTACAAAAGGGTAAACAAAATTTCAACAATACATACAAGTTTTATTCTTGTTTTCTAACAAAAACCTCAGTCTCTCTCCTTGGCCTGTGCTCACTGAGAAGCTCCCTCTGTTCCTTTGGAGATGAAAGTCAGCGCACCCTCCTGTTTTTCAGGTAATTGAGTTTATCGGGAACACTTTCATCTTTCCGCGTTAATCACTGGTTCTCTGTGAACACCAACTTAATGTGTAACAGACGCAGTGGCGCATCTGCTCATTACCGGGATCTGTTCACGTCGTATCGAGGGGCTTGGTTTTTCTTTTGCTGTGTCCCTCTTGAGGCAGGACCCTTTGTGACTCATGCTGGCCTTGGGTTTACTCTGCATGATGATGAACTTGAGGCTTGAATCTTCCGGGTGCTGGCTCTACAGACGTGATCTGCCACACCCAGTTTATTCCATATGGAGATTTGAACCTACCGATCTGCACATGCTAGGCTAACTCTACCAACTGAGCTACAGCCCAGCCCTCAAGAAGTAAAAGTTTTCCATCATACCTGATAGCAATGGAAGGACAGTTTATAACACCAAGACAAGTGATGCACAGAGCAGACAGACAGTTCTAGCTGACTCTCAGTTTATCTCAGGATAAAGTGCTGCCCCAGTTCTCAGTCAGAAACCCATGAGTCCATTAAGCAAATTCTGAGGGACTGTAAACTAACTTTAGACAGACTCTAGGGGTGGTGAAATGGCCCAGCAGGCAAAGGTGCTTGCTGTCAAGCCTGATGACCTAGGTTCGATCCCTGGAATCCACATAGTAGAAGAGAACCAGTTCCCAAGAGTTGTCCTCTGACCTCCACTTGCTGTGGAATATGAGTGACCAGCACCACCCCTGAATAAGTGAATATTAAAAAGCTGTGTAGGCCCCTGATGAAATGTGTTAACTGAATAACATAGGTAAAATCTACCAGTGTCTGAACTAGAAAGTCCCTGCAACTGGGATTGGGGGTGAGGGAGGGGGAGCTTCACAGAATCAGAGAATGCACATGGGCATGGGGGTGAGTGGGATACCGAGTTCTTTTCCATCGTGGTTTTCCTGCAACCATCAAGGTACATACTTACCCACGGGGACGAAGGGGGAGTCTCTCGACTTCCTGAGGAGTCGGGACAACTGGCCTTCGTCCTCAGCTGTTGGCCACTCATCTGAAGACATTGCTCTCTGCCAACAACAACAGATCTGTTGGTTGCTGCCATCATTCCAAGAACCCCTAGCTACACTGATAAGTGTTCTTTCCTGTGCACTGCCCACCCTGTGTTGGCTCAACTGAGACAGGCAGCTCTCCTTCCCTCACTCACACCTTTCACTACAGAATCCCATTCGGCGGGAAGGGGGGGGGGGTCGTTAAAATATATGTGGAGAGAGAAACCATCCGTCAGAGTCCTTGAGAGCAACATGCCTGGATTCCCATCCAGTCCTCTTTCCCAGAAAGACACTTGAAGTCACCTGGGACCTTAGGATTTCTCTCCAGACACAGACCACAGGCTTTCTCTTTCAATGACAGAGGCAATGCAGGCAAAAACCAGTTTTCTGCTGTACGGGTGAGAGGAGACTGTGACTGCAGGATGAGCAAGGCCTTTTGAATAGTTCAGATATCTACTGAGCCCCCCGTGCGTCAGGCCAGGCTAGACAATGAAAATGGATTGTCCTCGACAGCCAGGGTTAAAAGAACTCACAAAGGCAGCTGAGTTGCAACAGGCTTAGTGGTTCTCCAGTTTGTCCCTGCACCCCTCCTATACATGGGGAAATGCATACAGTGCACATCATTCAAACACAGTAGCTGCATTTTATAGATGAGATTTCAACAGAAAATCAAACCCAGTGAGAGGCACCATACCTTGTACACGCTGGAACACAATCCCAGTGCTGGCTGACTGTCTCCTCCTGGTCTTTGATCAGCACGGGTTTAAGGCTGTCACTGTCCCTGCGATTTCCAGCTAGTTGATGATCATAAGGAAGCTGAGAGACATCCCTGGGGGTGTGGCCATCTGGTATTGGCTGAGTTGTGAAGCCAGATATCTTCTTGGAATCACGAGCAAAGCTCTCAAAATTTTGTTTACAATGAAACTACCTTGATCTCTGGCGCCTTTCCTGTTGGAAGCACTTTATAATCGAATTTAAATTCTTCAGGAACACTCAAGCCCACCGAGATGATTTTGTGGCTGCTGTGAAATACTTAGTGGGGCTCCTTTGAGGAGCCTGCACCCACACACTCGGGTTTAGCTTATTCTTCCCTTCCATACCTCTGCGTTAACTTCCAGGTTTAAATCCCTATCAGGGATCTCTTTAATCAGCTCCAGTGCTGCTCTACACTGGCTCATTGTAAAATTCTTTTCTGGTGTGAGTTTATTGGCCTGGCTTTGCTTTAGTGGAGGTCCCAAAGCATGAGGGGCTCCTCAGACTGCTGGTGGCAGGCAGTGGGGGCCAAGACTTCAGCCACACTAATGCTCTGACCAAGTCAGTGAAATGAATCTGCCATCTTCTCCACTCGGACATTATGGTTTTCCCTTTGTAATTAAAAAATATTTTAATAGGGACCTGGGGAGATGGCTTAGAGGTTAAGAGCACTGACTGCTCTTCCAGAGGTCCTGAGTTCAATTCCCAGCAACCACATGGTGACTCACAACAATCTGTAATGGGACCTGATGCACTCTTCTTGTGTGTCTGAAGAGAGTGACAGTGTGCTCACATACATGAAATCAATAAATATAAAAATATTTTAGTAGTTTATCCTTATATAAACATCTTGATATTTATTATACCTTAGCCCATTACATTCAGTACATCCTAATAACCATTGCCTGGACTGGTTAATTCTGTTTTTGAAACGGTGATTATCCCTTCTGAAGCCATCATTCCTTTGGACTACTTATTGATTTTATTTCCCCTGAGGTGTAATAATTCATGAGGATCTTTTGTTTGTTTGTTTGTTTTTTCGAGACAGGGTTTCTCTGTGTAGCCTGGGCTGTCCTGGAACTCACTCTGTAGACCAGGCTGGCCTCAAACTCAGAAATCCTCCTGCCTCTGCCTCCCAAGTGCTGGGATTAAAGGCGAACGCCACCATTGCCCAGCAAGGTCTGGAGGTGGTTCAGTTGTTAAGAGTACTTGCTACACTTGCAGAGGATCTGGGCTCACCAAATGGAGGCTTATCATCATCAGTAATTTCAGTTCTGGCGATCCCATGTTCCCTTTTGACTGCCACAGGCACCAGGGTCTCATGTGGTGTATAGACACACAGGCAAAACACTCATGCAGATAGAACAGATATTCAAGATATGCTAATATGTCATATTGTCTCCACGTGTTGAATGCTGCACTGCTATGCTACATGTCTATGTATAGGTATGATGTATAGGTATATATGCATGTTGACATTTGCTTTATTTCAGTGAAAAGTAGGAACCATTTTAAAAAGAAAATACAAATGCTTGACTAAACATCCGAACCTTTGGAAAACATTGTGGTGTATAACTCACGTGTTTGCATTCCTAAGCTACTTTTACATAAGAAAAATATTTTCTAGTAGGAGGACCAGTTTCATTCTGTTCTTCTCATGTGTGCTGAAGGAGTGGCACTGTGGGCAGGTGAGCCTGTGGAGCCGCCTCAAAGCTCAGCACTGAGAGTTTTAGAGGTTATGAAGCGCTTGTGGCTCTGTCTCATTTCTCTCTCATGGCCTCTCCTGTCCACAGTTCCCATTCACTGACTGAATAAAGTACTAGCAGGAGCGACCCATCCTGCAGCAGGAGCTGGGCGTGGCAACCCATCCTGCAATCCCACTGCTGTAGACTAAAGACAGCCCCCTGGTCAGTCAGTCTGGCTGAACCAGTGAGCTTCAAGTTCAGTGAGACACTGCTGAAAAAAAAAAAAAAGGTGAAGCTGCCTATGGTGACACACACTTTTAATCTCAGCACTCAGGAGGCAGAGAGAGGCAGTAGGTATTCAAGGCCAGCCTGGTCTTCAGAGTGAGTTCCAGGACAACCACACAGATAAACCCTGTCCTGAGGAAAGAAAGACAGACAGAAAGAGGGAAAGAAAGAAAGAGGGAAAGGAAGATAGATAAATAGAAAGAAATAAAGAAATAAAGAAATAAAGAAATAAAGAAAGAAAGAAAGAAAGAAAGAAAGAAAGAAAATAATAGTAAGAGATAGCAGTTGGATTTGGGTTCAGATTTTGTCCCCCTCCATCACCC